TTTAAGATTTAGAGCATATTTTCTGCAATCATGAAGACTTTAAATTTTTTTTAATGATTTGAATTTTACAATGACTTATCGTTATAAGAAATATACCATTTTCTAATCTAAGAATCTTATTTACATTAAATAAAAAATGAGGTTCACCTTTTTCTTTATTCTTAAAAAAAACTATAAAAACATAGAAAAAATAATTAAACAAAAATATATATTAAAAAATACATTATATATAACCTCATCCATTACTGCATAACTTCTGAAAATTTCATTAAAATCTGATAATTTTCCAATTTTTGATAACTTAAAAAATAAACAGGTTAACATTGAGCTGTGGTCTTTCGTTAACCACAAAATGACCTTAAAATGGCATTTAATTCAACATATTTTGTTTAATCTCAGGTTTATGTCTGATTGAATATCAGTTATTAAAATTACATGCAGGTAGCACCCTTTTTAAAGTTGGCTGTTCTACTAAAATGTAGTCAGTCTGTTGAGATGAATTGTCCATTTGTTATATTAAGTTTTGAACCGTTGTATCATAGAAATGATTAAAGATATCTTACTGGATTTTTTTATGACACTATTGGACCGTACTTTGAACAATACGAATGTATAATTACTCTCCAAGCTTAACAGAAGAATCGTGATGAATCGATCATAAACGAAAATGACATGTTCATTTAATTAATTAATCATAGCTAAGGATCGGAAGCTCATGAAGAATTGAAATAAACATTATATATATATATATATATATATATATATATTATACAATCATGAATCATTTTCCAACTTATTCAAGATGATCTTCACCCTCTCTAACCTTCTAACTTTCTTCCCTGATGTAACAAGATGCCTCACAGGTTTCACGTTCGATTTCATTTTCAAATCTTTTTTTTTAGTGCTCTTTGCACTGTCATAGCTAAAACTCCTCTCTCACGGGCCAAATGTCTTATTAACTGGGTTGGATCTTTTCTAATTGATCTCTTTAGCTCAAAGATGAAATGACGATCCCTCTTCCTGTTGTGACCTCCTGATCCAGTTTTCCTCTCTACTGTTCCCTCTTTTTAAAATTATTCATCGTTCTCTTGATGGTTCTTGAATGATCTTTGAAGATGGAAGCCAGGGTATGAATGTTTGTACCATTACTGAAGGTTTGAATGGTCTTTTTCCTCTCACCATTGCTTATTTGGGAAGACAGTGTGTGTGAGTGTGTCGGTGTATGCGCATGTGTGTATATACTCCGATAACGATGGAAACTATGTGAACATATGCTGTGACTAGATGTGCACACTTCTACTAAAGCTACGCTGTTTTTACTCTGAGAAGATCAATGCCTCATACTTTTGTGGAAGACACCGAATAGCCATAGTATGCACAGTGAACCATGACACTAAAAGAAGTATCAATAAAATTTCACGGTTCCCCGTAAATCATTGAATTCTTTGGAGGATCTCAGCATTTCTGTGAGATGACACAGGACATGGAGGCTTGGAAAAGATTGATAAGAAACATTTACAAAGTTGGTAAACATTAGAAATTACATTGTTTTGCAGTGTACATTCAACTCAAAAAGCAGTTCTCATGTTGCTGATTGCTTGTATGATTATTTTTTCTAGGGTTAGCTTAATCTGCTTATCAATTATTTTCTTAGGGAAATTAATATTTATTTTATGTTTTTAAATTAATTAAATATTATGTGTAGAGGATATTACTGGACTCAATTTGTTATCTTATTTATGTAGGCTAGGTTGTATCGGCGTGGTGTATCATTGTCATAAACTGGGCATGGCTTTGAGTTGGTTGTTTTTTTTAACACAGAGGTTGTAAAGATTTTATTATTCGAATCAAGTGATATGTCTAAGAAGGGAATTCTGATCTGTTTAGTACATAAAGGAAATGAAGAACGGTGTGAACTTCGAAAGTTCTCAGATTTTTTATATTCTTCCGAAAAATGAAAAATACCCCGTTAACTTAGCAGGTAGATACTGTTGGTTTGGGGTATTTTTTACATTTCTTTCTCTAAGTTTGACATGTAAAATTCTGATAATATTAGAGTGATAGGTGTGTCCATGGTGATGTCGCTGGTTTGTGTGTATATTTTTCCTAAATAGTCGTAAAAGGAAATTTGTGGCGTGCAGGTGATAGTAGATTTTAAAGAACGGTCGAGATTATATTTTAAGGTGGGAGTGATTGTGCTGTTGGTCTTAAAAATGGTTCCCAAAAGCACTCAATATATATATATATATATATATATATATATATATATATAGTGTATAGGGGCAGAAGGTCGTTATTCAAACATATGTTGTTAAATTTAACAGACAACGAATGTCTATTATGTTTTATCATGAGCCGTTCCAAGCGTTGTATAATACCTTTAGTTTCAAGATAAAGATAAAAATATTATTATTATTATTAGCATGTACCCCTCCAGTATCTTTTCATGACCCCCGAGGCAATATTTATACTCAAATAGACGGTATCGCGATGGTATCCCTTTTAGGCCCCTTTTTTCTAATTATTATATGGCACATTTAGGAAATAAAATACTTGATGACACTAATAGACTTCCCCTATATATGTAAGGTACATAGATGACATTTTCATTTTAGCTAAAAATATTGATCAAATTACTCAACTTAAAAACAAATTTAAAA